CTTTGGGCATTATCCGAGCTCCTTCCGCATCCCACATGCCTACTGACATCATAAATACATATATATATATATATGCCAATAGACGTGCATTTCCGCACGCATGACTCGTACTTCGATCATTTACTGTCCAAACATCATGACACGTGCAAAAAAAAGAGGGGAAAATGAAACTTTTCACCCTGCGCGCAGATACTCACACTCCAGTCCTCCCCCGATCTGTCCTCACCGTTCATTTTTTTTTTTTTTTTCCACTGCCCCAGTGAAGAGTGACAATCACAAAAGAGATCCCACCGCCCGCACGAGAAAAATAAATAATAAACTGGGGAGAAAAAAAAGACTAACAAACAAATAAAAAAAGGACCACGTGGATCGGCGCCTTGGCTAATATCCATGACACGGGCTCTCCCTCAGGCCTATTCCCTTTCCTCGCAGTGCAAGACATTTACCGCAGCTCCTCACACACACACACACACGTACAGTTACCACAAAAGGAGCATAAAAAAAAAAAAGACTAAATACATAAATACTCCAGAAAAGCAATGTGCAAATCACCCAAATACACCCTTTCCTTCTTCACCACTTTTTTTCCCCCTCAGGTAGAGCCTGCAGCATATGTGGAGAGCGAGACTTTATTAGAACGTCCACAACGCAAGGCAGCCGCACCTAAAAATCTTCTTTTTTCCCCCCGGCCGATAACTGAAAGTATTACTAGGCCGGTCGAAAGAGAAGAAGCACAATGGCGCAAAAACCCCTAATGGACGGCGGAGATAACAAAGCGATGATGTGCTTTTGGCAAATTCATGGCAGTTCGTGGCGGAATTTGGGAAAAAAGCTTTTCTTTGTCTCGCTGTCCCCCAATGCGTGGCAAAGATGCGACATAAGACAATGCGATGAAAGAGGTCTTCAATTAACACCGACGCAGAGGACAACAAATGCAGCAAACAAACAAACAAAAAGACTTCTCCATCCTTTGGATTAGTTCTTACGCTTACGGCACGCTGCTGAAAACACTAGGAACGTGGGTGTACCGGTCGTCGCTGCGTCTCCTCCCGACGCCGCTCGTACGCCCGCTCAAACCAATGGAACATCCATCCATCTACATTCTCCTCTGGACGTTCACGTAACAAGTCTTCCATCATGTTGTTGAGCAGACTGGGCAGTTGATGCTCCACGGCGTAACCAACTACACCATTTTCGCCACGGCTAGCTGCGTGACGCGAATCGGCCTTGGGTATTATCCCCATCGTTGTGACACTACAGCAATTGCGTGGGGAAGCACTACTCTGGCGTGATATTCCTGGTGATTGCAAGGCATTTCGAGGTGGGATAGCCCGACAGCCAACAGCAGAAATAGTTTCATTGGGGGAAGATGAGGATGGAGGGAGCAGTGGCGGGAGATGATGCTGATTCGGCTTTCGGCGTGGCAGCGCACCGAACATCTGCGACGGCACGTGAGAGTTCATTCCAATTATTATTTCGTAGAGAACCCTCTGTTTTCTGAGTGTACTTTACTTATAAAGATATATATGTATGGATTTCTCTATGCCCTACGGTAATTCTCTCTCCGTTCCTTTCCTTTAGGCCGACTCTTTGACTCTTTACGTGTGCGCAGGTATCACACACTTCTCTCTCTTTCTCTCTCTCTCTCTCTCTCAACCTTTTTTTTTGTTTGTTTATTTTACTTTATTTTATTATTATATTTTTTTTTTCCAGATTTCTCTTCCCTTCTCCTTCTCTTCACACACACACACTCTCTCTTAACCGCAGACGCACGTGTGGCTCGGCACAAGTGCAACAAGAGGACGGTGCCAATAATGGCGCCGCTGCTGACTGCAATAATACGCAGAGTGAGAAAGAGAAAAAGAAAGAAAGAGAGGTTCTGCCTGCCCCTGCAAGTCCGCCTCAACTCTCCTCAACCTTCCGTAGATTCTACTAACGCAAAGGGCAAAGAATTCACAAAACAAAAAAAAAGGGGAAAAAAAGAAAAAAAAAAGTGAATATGACATTCCCACGCCTTCCATAGTTTAGTTATTCCTTCAAGCAGACTGGCGAAGGCAAATGCGGCGGGACAACAGCAGTGAGAAGTGAATTTATTTCAGGAATTGCATGTAATGCGAATTGCGTGGATTAAGAGACACCAACCACGCCACTCTCTTTAAATTCCCCTTCTCTTTTTTTTTTCTTTCTCTCCCTTCCCCCTCTTCCTTCGCAGTTCGTTCCCAGAACACCCATTCAAGCAAGAAAACAAGCACACAAACCAAACAGACAGACAGAGAAGTGGACACAGGGCAAAATTTAACGTACACCATACGTCACATTTTGCAATTGTTTCTGATGAAGAGAGTCAAAGACGCTCTTTTTCTGCGACCACATTTTACCCCGTTTTTGGCGGGCCTCGGCTAATTTGTTGGCTTTGTCTGAATCAAGAACACGTCTCTGCACCTGTCGGCCAATCGGTTCCTGTTCTCGGTCAAACTCTGCGCCAGTAGTGCCGACATTACGCGTCTGCTCCGTACGACGACCAAAGTTTTCCAAAAGATAGTCAAGTGTACTCTCTTCGTTTGCTTCACCAGCAAAGCGCGTCGCCCAGATTCGACGTCGCTTGTCAAGAATTGCGTCCTCAATGTGTCGATAGACCAAAAAGGCTTCTCTGCCCATTACTTGCACTCTCTCCATGTCCGTTAATGCAAGGGCGAGCGGCTTGCCCCACTCCGTCTCTGTGCATATGCGGTGTAACTCCTGCAAGTAACACAACACTGCCGCAGTGATAACCTTGTCTGGTGTATACATGAAATCTGCAAACCCACACTTTTCCTCATAAAAAGTTCGCACGCGATTGACGTCATGACGTGTGTTTTGCAAAAGTCGTAGAGCTTCGATCTTTTCGTCACACACCTCCTGCACGGGAGCCAACATTTCACATACTTCCTGCCAAGAATCGACGCCTCGAGCCTTTTCCATTCGCTGAGGATCCGCGCTAAGGTAAAAAAGAACACGCATGTCAGCTGGTGCAATTTCCGCTCCACCAGCGCTAAACACGGGTGTGCCTGCCTTTGATTTGAGTTGACGGAATAACTCCACCGCGGCCTGCTCCGGCACGTCATCGAGTGTCAATGCACCATGCGAGGGCGAACGAAATACCCCACTAAACGGGGTGAGGTCAGGCTCTATAAATTCACTATACCGTTCCTTAATCTGTTCATGTGTGTTGAATGGCGCCACATCGAGTTCTGTCACCTCTACACCGTCAGGGTCAATATATGGATTATGTGAAAATCGGGGTAAATAGTCTGTTTTGGAACCGTCAATAAAGCCAATAGGTCCCCAACGGTCCCATATGTAGTTTGGTGGCAGGCCCAATTCTTTTCGTCGAACAGCACGCTCCAAATCCATCAACGCGTGTCGCATGGCCTGTGAGAGAACAAGTGTCCCAATCTGGACACCCCTATCATGCCAGCAGTGCACCCGCAATGTTTTCTTGTTGTAAAAAGGCTTTGTAATACCGATACACCTCCAGTAGCGACCCTCTCTTGTCCAGTGCAACGCAGCATCCAGGAACTCCTTGTTGTAGAGATGTTTTGCTCCCTTGATGGTCTCGTCATGGATCAACATGCCAATCTTCTCAGGGGTATCAAATGCGGTCCAAATGAGCTTCGTCTCAAGGTTGTAAAAATTGTAGCTAAGCTCCTCATGATCCCTTTCAAAGCGCCTCGGCGTGTACGGCTCAAACCAAGCCTTCTGTGGCATGTAGGTTCGGTCAGAGAGCTCCGTTCGGTTTCGGTCAAGATAACTGCGCACCGCAATACGCTTCCCAACAGTGTACTTCTTCGGCACAATGTGATAACTCCCCCTCGTGTACGGCACAGTCATTTCTGCGCCACCTGCACCCGTAAGCAACCTCCTTGTGGAGAACATTTCTAATGCCTGCACAATGAGCACGTGTATGTCCCTCGCTTGATCGGATCCCCCTTGTCTGGTTGTTCCCGCAAACTGAAGAAAGAAAGAAAAAGGAAAAGGAACAACAACAACAACAAATAACAATAATTTAGGATTACAAGCGTGAATTAATCATAAAATATTTACAAAGATATAAGTTAAATGCATAAATAAATATTATATATAGGCATTTAGGTACGTACATACATACATAGATAGATAGATAGATACAAAGAATAATTCAATTGTGTAATGATGGGTTAAATAAGACATAATTGTAACAGATACATATGTCATTTCATCAAACCCAAATGGGTAGCCACATCACCCCGGAATGAATAATAATATTAGAATGACTCCTTCTCCCCTCACCAATGCAATTGCACTACAAATAAATAAATAAATAAATAAATAAATAAATAATAAAAGGTATTCCACAGCAAGACGGAGAGGCAAAAAAAAAAAAAAAAAAAAAAGGCAAATGGGAGAGAAGTCAAAGAACACTACAATAGCCACACCAGTAAACAATTTAGTAGCAGTGGAAACAATAGAGAGAAAAAGAGACATACGTAAACTCTTTTTTTTTTTTTTTTAAGTTTAATTGTCCCTTTCCTTCTCTTTACATGGAACACCCAAGCAGACTGGCTTCTATCGTCTTCAGTTTTATTTTTTTTTGTTTTCTTCACTTTGATGCGTTTCCTCCTTTTTTTTTTTTTTTTTTTTTGACTTCCGTATGCATTACTGGTCGCACATTGCATGGGCACGTGGAAAACCCAAACAACTACAACAATAAAAACAAGAAAAAAACAAAAACAAAAAAAAAAAAAAAAAATGCATTCCTGTCCTCTTCTTCCCTCCCTCGTGGTTGATTGTTCATCTCATGTTTCCCCCCGAAATCCCGGACGCTCACGGGCCATCTCGGCTGCTCGTCCAGCACTTCGTCAGAAGACTCATCAGCTGCGAGTTCTCGTGCACGCACCCGAACATACCGTCGGACCCGTTATCCGAAAAAACACGTCCCGGACGCGCCGTCGCGGAGACGTCGATGGAAGGTGAAGCAGTCCCAGAGAAAACCCGATGGGGGAAACAGCGACGATCCACGACGTCACCGTTTTTACGGGAAAAAAAAGAGAAAAGCTTCGTTACGTGGGATCCGATGCGGGAGGAGACATGCGTGGAGCCCTCAACCTTCAAGGGCGTAGAAGCAACAGACACAGAAGTCGCTTCCACCTCAGCAAAACGTTGCTGCGAATGACATAACTGGCTTTGTCGTACAAGCCATAACATAAAAAACTCAAAAAATACGGCGCAGTTCACTGTCCCATGACTCTTCTCCTGCAGTCGCCGCGCCTCCCGAAGTGCGGAGGATATCATTTTGTCCGGGAGCATCTTTACAACACTGAGAGTGCGTTGCTGAAAGGGACACACGGGGTGGAAGCCTTTCTTGAACTTCTCCACCAAAATAGGGGTAAGACTAAATTTCTTCTCGAGTTTTATGCGATTGCAAACACCAACACGCGGGGCAATGACAAGAAGCAGGTTATCCACAGAGTATGGAAAGGAAAGTAAACGGTCCATGCGTGTCTCATCATACTCCTCCATTACCCACTGCACCGGAAAGGAGGGATAGATACATGAAAGTACTTTGCCCGCAAAAGGTGCCTTATCGCACAAACGGCTTGACATGCCCACGGTGGCACGATGATCTCGGAAAAAAAAGGCCGCCAAAATAAGTAAACATCGCGCCAGTTCGGGGTCCGTGCAGAAGATTACCACACGTCCCACACGCTCAGACGAAAGCGAGCAAACGACATCAGTATTAGGAGCCGTGCTATGCGCTGTCGTCGAAACGGCTGATGTTGTCCTTGAGACGGAATTAAAATCTAATCTATGCAAAACCTGAGCCCCAGCGGTAGCAGCATTACTCTCAGTGTAACCGTAACTGCTTGTATTGTTGTTGTTGTTGTTGTTGTTGTTGCCTATGTTTTTGCACCGTTCCAATACGGGGGATACAAGTCCACTACTATTAATGTTATCACCACTACCACTACTACTTCTCTCCACCATTTCCATACGATTCCAGTAGTCCCCGTAGATATCAACTCTGTCCCCGTCGTCCCCAGTGCGGTGCCCTTGTTGCTGCGGATCCACATTGGATTGGCCGGAGCCCCATCGTTCCCAATTCGACAACGACAACAGGCCGGCAATAAAACGGCTTGTAAAGGTCTCACTAAAAGAACATAAAACACGGAGAGCACCACTCAGAAGGTCCCCAACTGTCTCTGTCGTGTTGTGTGGTTGGCTGGAGGAACTACGAGATAAATTGAAGACATCCGTGCAAGAAATCCGACTGTGCAGGCGTGGAATTGCATGACTATGTGCGAAGGCATTGACAAGAATTGCACCCAACGTCCCGTACGTTTGTATCGCCTGAGGGTCTCGCTCCAACTCCGTCACCAGCTCCCCCACGACGGTTGTTGGGGAAAGCCTAAAAAAGAAGAGTTGTGTCGCCTTCATTGCAAAGCTCAGAACGACATGCAACATGTTCCGCACAACAGCATCAAAGTTTTCCTCCAAGAACTGACGGTAGGGCCGATCTGCTGGGCAAGTGACAACAAGCGCGACGGCAGCGTACTTCGTTTGCATCGTCCGCAACTCACCGTTTTCTACGGCGACGGAGACGACAAATGTGGAGGCGATCATCAAGCGGTGGTACCGCACTTTGCCTCTTTTTTGCACGGACTCCAGACGGGAGTTCCACAGGGGCCCGTTGCGCGTCAACGAGCTCTTGCAACCAAACCCAAGGGGAAACGCTAATTCTTGCAGCTTCTGCTGCGCTACCTCCTCGGAGGGGCCAAAATAGACGATGTCGCCGGGCGTGTACGGTGGCGTGTCGTCACGCAGAGGAATGCGGTTAGAGTGAAAAATGGGAGAGCGGTTGCATAAAAAAACTACAAAGTAAAACGTTACCGCGGATTCCGTTGGAATCGGCTGCGCAAACTGAAACGGAGTTGCGGGTGGAGACGCAAATTTGCCTCTATCAATGGTCGATGCCGCCAACGACGGTTCGGCTGCGGAAGGCATCGACAAGTGCGTTCGCACAGGCACGCCGTCAGCATCCATTTCAACCAGCGGCGACTTTGACTGTGGGGTACACACACCAACGCACACACGCGTACAGGCAAACAAAAAACAACAAAAAAGGAAGGGGGAAAGGAGGTTGCAGACATTCAGAGATTAACCCTCCAGAGGATCCACAAACACACACACACACATCCTCCCTCGGCTTACTCGCCCCCATTGCCACACACACACAGAGATAGAGAGAGAGAGAAAATTACCAAGTACCAAACTCCAGTAGAGACGCAGAGAAAAAAGCAGCAACAAAAAATAAATGGTGGCCGCTCCCCAAGAGCAAAAATATATATTAAAATAATAAAAAGCAAAAAAACGGCCATATAACCACAGAAAACAAAATAAAATGTTTCCAAATTCATCTCTTTCCCTTCCCCCACTCTCTGTCTGAAAAACAAAATAAAATGAAATAGCCATACGTCAATTTTTGCAGACACGAGTTGATCTTTTTCCTCGTGTTGCCACACGGATGGCAGCTGCCTCGTCATCATAAGGCTTCTTATCTGCTAGACTCATCGACCTCCATGCCTTCATTAGCGCACCTTTGTTCTTGTAATTCTGTTGCTCGCGTTTGCAAAAGAGACGAAACGCCGTCATTGGGCTTCTGTACGCTCCCAACATCTTTCCATCGTCATTCGACACATTTGCCGTCGTTACGGAAGAAGAAGTGTCTGTGACGTCCCCGCAGCACGGCAAAAGAGTCGCTACAACAGGAGACTCTAATGCAGCCGACCTTCTCTTTCCCTTCTTGACATTCCTTGGTGCATCCCCGCCCGCCACACGATGCACCTTTGAGGTAATAGCTGCAGCCAACGCAGACGCAGCGAGTTCGTAGCGCTTCCGTGTTTCAGCGTCAGCGGCAAGCCAACACTCGGCGTGGAGGCGCCTTCTGTCGTAAAGACTTTCGTCCTCCAACTCTCCTCCCACAACCTCCACAATTCTGTTGTCGTCCATACCAACTTCTCGCTGAACCTCCGCGTCGCGGCAAAATAACTCAAAGGCCGTTGGCACCGCGTGGGGCAAAGCCGGGGTGGATGCCCCATTGCCCTTTGCAGGCGGGCGGCGCGTCCAAGTCACGCCACCTCTTCCATTAATAATGACACCTGTAGAACCCCTACCACGAGCAGCGTTAGTTGTAAAACATGTAGGAGATGATACGCCGTCAACAAGGATAAAATTTGCCTCCCCGCACCCGGGACAACAAATAACACGCTGATTGCATCGGCAGCACTGGAATGCAAGTGCTGCTGGCTGTGACACTTGTTCATTGCTGACGCTGATATGCGTTGCCATAGTCTCCGCTCCTCAAAAACCACACCCACAACAAAAACAACAGAAACAAGAACAAAAACTCTGGGCTTTAATGTATACACGCAATTCTGTATGTATGTATGCGTTTCTAATTTCGCTCTTATCTTCGATCGGATTTCCCATTATGTCAGAAGGAGGAAGAAGGCACAGAGAACGCATAACAAATCATCTGCTCATACAAATCCTTCCCCTTCATGTTGTCATTCCGTTCTTGAGACGCTAGGAAACCGTCTTGAGGAATGAGAGGGAGGGGTGGGAGAAGGTGTGCACCGCACACACGCATGCATACTAGGAGGAAACAATCTCCAGCAAGGCAAATAAAGGAACCGATGCAAAACAACAGCAGCGACAGTGCGGAGACACACACGCACACACAAAAAGACTGAAACGCAGTTTGCTCCTCCCTCACAGGCCTCACACGTTACACGCACGCACAAACTATAACTCAGACGCACAGACACGCTCTGAGGAAATTCCTGTTGTAACGGCGTTATCAGAGACCCAACTCGTCGAATCCTCCCGGCTAACTTCACCCACGCTCCATACCGGCATAAAATCACCGAAAATGCCGGTGCGAAAACAAATCACAGGCCACCGTACGCCATCATTAGCCCTTTCACCCCGTTATCGGGAAAGAACACGGGAAGCAACTCCAGATTTTTCCTCCTCCTCCTCTTTCACTTAATGTCTCGTGACCGCAAGCTTCGGCCCCGTCGGAAACACAGGATTTTGTGAGTCAGCTGAAGGCGAGGTTGCCATTTTTGTCGTGGGATCCACGTGGCGTGAAGGCCCCCGCCCCCCTGGCTGCAAGACTGCATCAGACTCTTCTTCTTCGCCCTCTTCTTCGGTTTCTTCTTCACTCCCCTCACCCCTCTCAAATTGTTGCGGGTTGTGTTCTGCCGGGAGCAAGTTTTCGTCCGTCAACGATGCCGATGGTGTCATTTCCGGCGTGGCGACAGCAGGGGCTACACTTTTCAGCTTCACACGCAGGAGCTGTATTTGCGCTGTCACAAACTCATCGCTTGCCTCCCGGCGGAACACAAGTCGAATGAGCTCCTCCATCTCATGCATCGAGAAGTGCTTGTAATCTCCGCTGGTTATGAGGTCGTTGGCCACGTCTTTATTCGGCAAATGACGCAGAAAAGTGGCTGGACGTAAAAAATAATGCTTTACCGCACCACGGACATCATCGTCGGTGGGAAGAATCAACTGTAGCGCCGTCTCTATGGAGAGGAGGTTCGCCCGCAACCTCGCCAATCCAGCATGGGATATGGCCTTGTCACGGAGGTGTGCAATTTCCACCATGATCAGTTCGCTCAGCGGCTTGGCAACGGTGATGCCCACGTACTTCAATTTCTTCTCCGACAAGTGCAACTTTAAAAGGGCAAAAAAGTTAATGATACGACGGTTGTAGGCCTGAACAAACGTGTCAGGGGAACGTGTGGTCGCCACAATGTTGTACGACTCATCGCGCAGCTGCGGAATGTATTGAAAAGCCGCAAAACGGGCTTCCAGAGACAAATAAAAAAGACATACCTGCGAGATGGTATACATCTGCCGCATTATACCACCCAGACGCGTCCAGCGCGTACTATCGCTTGGCTTTGTTGCTGCCAAAGAGGTTGACCACCGGTCGTGACGTTTAAAAAACACCGTGCCCGGAACGAGGCAATCGGTGCTGATGCCGTAATGCCAACCGTTCTGCCAAACCGTTTGAAGAACAACGTCACACAGCCACTCCATGGAATAACAGAGCATGGCCAAAGCTACAACCACACCACTTCCCTTTAGTGCAATTTCCGCGGGAGGAATGGCGCCAATGCTTGCATCCACACCACTCTCATTTCCCCCTTTTGAATTTTCCATAACATCACAACCCAAAAAGTCATGAGAAACGTGATTGTATTGATGCCCACTGGTGCGTCGTTCGTTATTAAACGCGTAATATCTAAATAAATCTGCGTCAACGGCGTTGTGGGCGTCCCATAAACGCGTTTCTTCACTCAGCGCCTGCCACCGTGCACTGGGACGCCCAGCAAATGCTTCTTCAAAGTCTGTATGAAGCAGGCAATGGTATAGCGTCTGATGTGAAATGAGATAAAATTTCTTTTTAAGAACAATGGTGAGCTCTGACAGCAGTGTCTCCGTGACGTTTTGCTGTATCGCCTCCGCAAGTTTGTCTGGCAGTGTCCTGCATATGTGAGCGAGCTTTTGTAGCACCTGACCAACGTAATGAACACACGTTAGAATTGGGTACCCGTTCTCGCCTCCATGACGCAGCGTGACAATGGGCCACTTTATTCCCTCCTGTTGCACCTTTTGGTGGTGTACAAGCGGTTCTATGGGCAAGAGGAAGGACGACGGTGACCGCACCGGCGATTTGCGTACATTTCCCTCACCTGCAGACGCCTCATCTGTAAAACTCTCCGCTTCGGACATGTCGGCAAACAGCTGTCTCAATTGCTGCAAATGAAAGACGTACAAACTAGGGATGTAAGTCTTCTGTAAAAAGTGAAAAAGGGAGTTTTTTATTTCCTCACGAGACGCTTCCACGAAACGCGGGGCACGCACGGCACAACGCCGGTAAAACTGACGGACAGACTCGTGGCATGTTAAAATATTCATGGGAGTGAATACAAACCAATTCTTTAGAGTCATGGCCTGTTGGAGAAGAAGAGCGCTACCACTTCTCCAGCTATAAACAAAGTTTCCCGATGCGGCCATGGACCGGTCCCTTAATTGCTTCCTGTTTCCCTCATCGGCACATCGTAATTCTCGCTGTGCATACTTGACGGCCGCAACTATACTAAATGACACGTACCCGGTTTGTTCCATCATCGCAAGCAGGCCGGAAGTGTCCTGAGTGGAAAGCAGCTTTTCAAGCGAAAAAAGGTTGTCTGCAGCAGCCGCAGCACCACTACTCATCAATTCAGCGGTCCGATGTACACGCCCAACAAGATTCCGATGCTTTAAGAATGGCTTCAGGGCAACCTCATCCCCAAAGTCCTCCTCCAACTCTTTTGCATCGCAAAGCACACGGAAGATAAGCTCAATGTAGTAACTGAGC